GAATTGAACTATTTATGGTTTCCCTCATGAATTAATGCACTTACGATTATCTTGGCCATATCCCAACCGCAATAACACTCCGAACTTTTCCATCGGGCCGTTCCACTGTGGTTGTGGCTTGCAACAATTTGAACGAGGAGATTTTTAAATGTATTTTCAGACCGAGATGGCTTGATATTGGTGCTCCACCGTTCGGTGGCCTCTTGGCGCACTTGCAGTTCAACCTGTCGCATGCCACAGCCGACTTCCACGACCCTTTCCCTTGTCAAAAAACAACCACGCTCTATATTTTATTGTTTCACCGCAAATTGTCCGCATCGTTCTGAACTGTAAGGGAGGAACTACTGGGTGAAATCCTTCATATTACGAACCTCTTCTCAACCTCTTCTGCTTTTTGAACTTTTGGATGTGTGTATATATGTTTGGCTGCAGCTTCCGCTGGCCTTTCCTTCCGACTACCATCATCTTGCCATCATCGATACGCGAGTACGTGAGTGGATGGCGTATCTAAAATCCCTACTCACTCGGACTCTCAGCTGCATGTCTCAATCCTGCCCCAGCTGCGGGGCACCACCGCCTTGGCTGGCGCTCCTTTCTGACACGATTCCCTGGACGGTCCCTTCGCCACTGGATCTGACTCATCTACTGACCAGCAACGACCCGCCCCTTGAATCTGACCTCCCATCCGTTCACAATTTCATCGCCGGTGGATCGAACAGAATAGAATTCTGTGATGCACAAATCAGTGCTTTGGAGGCCCAGGTCCATGATTTGCAGGCTGCAATTTTGCAGTTCAAGCGACGGCGCGACGAGGTCGGGGAAAGCATTCGGCACCACCGAGCCATTATATCCCCGATCCGATATGTTCCAGCGGAACTGATTTGCGAGATCTTTGCCTAGGTGTCGTTCAAGGATCCACCTTGCTGGTATATATGCCGATCGTGGAGACACCATGCCCTCTCATATTCACCTCTCTGGCGCTACATCTCCGCCAACTTCCGGATCCGTAACGTCACCCGGATGAAGTCGATGCTTACAGCTCAATTCCTGCAGTCCGCCAATTTGACCCTGGATATTCATTGGCGATGCGTGGACAACCATCATTTCGATGACCACCTGCTGGATTTGCTCCTTACTCAGTCTGCTCGCTGGCGTAGCCTGCACTTCTATTACAGCACGCGCGCGAGTGGCTTCAATCTGTCAATGGCCGTCTTGACCAGTTACAGAAAGTGCAAGTCGACTCCGATGCCGCTTGGATCGACTTTCCCGATGTCTTCTCCACCGCTTGAAACCTACGAGAAGTTATCCTGACCGATGATACCTTCTCAACGTCCCCGAATATCGGGATTCCTTGGGAACAGATCACTCACTATCACGGAACCTATCCCTCTGTGCACCAGCTGGAGATCCTGAAAGCGGTAGCCTCCACGCTCCTGGAATGTGCCATTGGTATCACAGACAGTGATTTTGGCGGCGATCCGCACCATATCATCTCACCCTGCCCAACCTTCCTCGTTTCTTCTCGACACGTGCGACTGTTCTCGCACATCTCACAACACCGATCCTCGATGAGTTTCGTTTAGCCCTCGATCTAGACGACATCAGTGTGCTGCCCCCCTTCATCATGCGCTCCTCCTGCACACTCACAAAGCTTACCTTGCTGGGATGCGGGATTGATTCCGAAGTGCTTTCCGTCCTAGGGACCCTTCCGAGTCTCGCAACCCTACGAATAGACCTTGAGTATCCATGGGGCAAGCCTCCTCCGTATGACTGGACCACCGAGATGTCTGCATTGGCTGCCCCTTCCGACATCTGCCCCCGCTTAGCTTCGTTTGCAGTCGGGTACAAGGCTGCGCGTCAGGTCCCTTGGAATCCCTTCTTCGCCATGGCGCGGTCCCGTTTTCAAACTTCCCATTCTCGCCTTTCACGCCTCCGCATCTCTATCTCTGGAGTTAATCCTCCGTCGGACAACATGGTGTCTCAAATGAGGATCTTACAGGACGAAGGATTCGATGCGGACTTTCGAGATGATGACGAGCCATTTTTCTCCCAGTAAAGCAAGTGTCCTTTTCTTGACCTACATCTGTGATTGGTCGGCCAATTTCTAATAATCATTTCCTTTTGCATCACTCATGAGTGGTATTGCATGTCCGTATCTGAATATTTATCACTACACAGACGCGTGATGACATATCTGAGAGAGTCACGTAATCAGGCTCGAAAGAAACAATAGAAGGCGGAAAGCTATATCGACGGACCTCCATTCCAATGGTTCCACACCGGGCACAATTGCCACAGGAAATTAAACTAGTCAGGTTTGGGCTGGAAGTATGTACTCCCGCTGGGCGATGCTAATGAACGCCATGAAGGATAAAATCGGATTTCCAATTCACCCCGCGACTCTGAATTCCCGTCCAGGTGTGTTCCGAAACTAGGCTCACCGCCTCAGTTTCGAAAAGTTGGGGGAATTCCCTCCAACTCCAGACAGCGAAAAGGCGGAACCGGGAACACTATCCCTACTTGCGACGCCGCTGATACTTGGGTTAAATTCCACACACAGGCTATGGAAAAACTGCGCTCCGCAGCAAGGCTATCGTTAGCCTCCACGATTTATATTGAGACTGCAAAACAGCGCGTGGTGCGTTTCGTATGTATTTTGGGCTGCTTCTGCGAGAACCACGGACGAATCATTGCCCAGTGTTTCAGAATGGACGAGAATCAAATGGCCAGCCAACTGAGTCGGCCTTCGTGTGGCGCACCCGAGTCCGATCTTCGCTCCACGTACTGGCACCGTTCCGTATCATGTCGGAGAGCAAAATGTGCTGTTGACAGCAAGGACACGGGTGGTTAAATTGGCGACGCCGCAGACTCACGTTGACAGTTGGGATTGTATGGGTCGACACCGGTGATAGCCCGGGCAGACGACAAGTCGGACTCCAATCTTACAGCAAACCGGTGCTAGGATGTCGTCGACGCGCCGCAGCAGCGGTGGGAGTGAGGGAGCGACCGTAGCGGACAACCAAGTTCAGTTGGAGGTGAATGGCACTCAATGAGGTATGTGCAGCAATAAATTATCCAAAACGCGTCAAAGTTCAAGTTGAACTCCACTCCTTCGTTCATTTATCGTTATTTATTTTCCGGTAAGCATCTCGGACTCTCTGGGAATCTTCCACGGAGAAGAAACACCGGCGATCTATGTGCACGAAAATAGCTCCAGTTAAAGGCAAACATGGCCTGCCCAGAACTGCACGCACTATTGCGCCCGAGAGATCATATTAAAGCCGACCCCAGATCCACCTGGAACAAACTGCGCCGCCATGCTTCACCCGCCAATCGACCATCACATTCGGAAATTCCCCCTCACCGCCATCTCGCAACTCTCGCCATACACCGGCCTCATCTTGTCGGTGGTTCTGCTCACCTTCTTTCTTGTCAAATTTTATATCTTGGAACGATTCCTGCTGCAGAGGATCTATGGCGCCAAGTACACCGACTTGGACGAAGTGAACCGTCGTGGTTTCGTCAACCACCACATTGCCGGCGCGACGAAGCTGATAATTCTGATCATCGCTGTGTACCCCTTCGGAGACGTCGTGTTCGGAACTGCGCGGTTCCATACACCGTTCGTGGATGGCTCTCGGGTCACACTGGGCGACATGCTAGTTATATCCTCGCAGATGCTCCTCGGCATGTTCATCTTTGAACTCATCTATCGTACGAAAATCTCGCCGATCTCCGTGGTGAGTGTAGCGGTGTTCAAGCTACATTTATGGGGTCTAATGAGAGCCTGAGTTCAGGTGCACCACATGGCGAGCATCCTAATAGGCCAGGCCGCTATCACAATTAGTATCTCGATGCAGCAGGACTCCAGTATCGAATTTCTGCTTTGTACCGTTTGGGGTGCGTGTGCTTCTCGTCCTAATTTTCCTCACTTCTCACGGTCCTCGCAGGAGCATTCGATATAATTTCAGAATTCCTTCCGCATCTGACCATCATCCTGTACCGCGTCTACCCCGACTCGCACCACTTCCTCGCAGCGCTCTTCCGTGCCGCATGCATTACTACTCTGATTGGTACCACGGCCGAGACGGTGGTTGTCATGTATCTATTCGGGCAGCTTTGGAGCCGTTGGACACTGGCTTTCAAAATAACGACGCCCGTGCTGCATGTCGCATTCTCAGCCGCGCAATTTCACGGGACCCGCATTTTTTATAGGCTGTGGCAAAAACAGAAGAGACTCATTCAAAATCAACGGGATGCGGAGAAGGGAATGGTGGAGTGATGGACCTTCGTTTCTGAGTTGACACTCTGGACTTCGTACTCTTTTCGCACGATAATGGACTTTGATGGGACTCATACTGTAACTTAAGGGTGGACAGAATAATCGACATGTTGTAAGACTATCGTTTTCGGAGTTTCTCGAGATGATCAGTGTTCTGAAATACTTTCAACATTGACGCGCCATCATTGATGCGCAATCAAAGCCGCATGATCTCATCGTTTTTCACTGGGTCCCGCCTCATAGCTCAAGGAACTATTCACTCCAGAGTGTTGACTGGAAACTACAGTACAATTTGCGCAAGTTTTTACAAAGCATGGCTGTATACACCCTGGCACGCACTGGTCTCAATCCCTCTCCGAATTGTCTCCGAATTCCAGATAAATTTCAATCAATGGCGCACCTGCAACCTCCGAGGCACCTGCTAAGCGCCTGCTTTATTTGTGTACCTCCCCAACGTATCTGTAATTCCAAGCCCGGTGGATCTTGGTGGATCCTCCGCTTTGAATCCCGTGTACGTGGTCAAAATGTTTCAGCGGATGGCTGGGGTTCGACTCGAGCTCTCGGCTGGGGTACTATATATTAATAATGTCTTGCCTTGTTTTTTTTCCCTTCCTCTGTTGCTTAGGCCGGTCTCTAGTCCGGCTTACAACGAAAAATATGGCGAAACTTCGGGTATCAATACCTCCTGCAAGGTCAAACTTGAAGCCTTCTTGATTACGCCCTGGTAGATCAGTTGGAAGATCTTCCGCTTTATGTCATGAGGACAGAGAAATCTCAGCGGACGACGCGGGTTCGAATTCCGTCCAGGGCATGTATAATGACTTCTGCTTTTTTTCGTCTTCGTACATACATAATAATAACAAGAGCGCCCCGCGTCAATTATAGTTCGTGAATTGTTCTCGTAGCTCGAGTCTCGAGATTCTTACATGGACACGGGGCAATTCCATGGCCTACGGCACGGGGACGAATGCCATGCACCCCGAGCCACAAGTTCCAAACTCCCAAGTGCAACGCCCTGGTGGATCAGTTGGAAGATCCTCCGCTTTCAATGTGTCATCTCTGTGAAAAAGCATTTCAGCGGACGACGCGGGTTCGAGTCCCGCCCGGGGCGTGGTTGAGGACCAGTGTGCTTTTTTCTTCTTGCCTACAGCATCACAACTTCGAACGCCCCGAGTTTGCAGCTGCGGATGCCAGAGACACGGTTTGAAAAAATGAAGGAGCGTAATAAGAAACGATCAGGATATGTTGATTGGATTACAACAAGAAAGACAGATAGGGCGCGTGCTAGCTAGATATACAGTATCATAATCTACTCTCAATATCTACACAGTCCAAGATGTGAGAGTATCCCCAAGTTCCAACACCAATTGAGCCCGTTCACCCGATGGATGACGGATCGACCTCGCGTCCGCCCGCCCAGCCACCCTGGCCCTCACATCCCCGCGAGCCGTCCATCCTCAAAGCGGCCCAGTCGCATAGAACGAATGCGGGTGCAGCCCCTCCGACCCCGACTCAGAACCCGACCTCGAGCCGGATGCAGTATTACGCAAAGCGCGGGAGACGAGGGCCGAGGGTTTGCTCGTGCTCGTACAGGGCCCGGATCCTTTGGTCTTCGCACTTGGGGAGGCACTGGCGCTTGCGGCGGATGCGGCAACGGCAGAGGGGGAGGCATCGACGGTGGAGAAAGATACAGCGGGAGCGGCACCAGCAGTGGAAGGCGAGGCACGACGGCGCAGCTGCCGAAGCCCGTGGTGGACTGTACGAACTGCGTGGGACGTGGGTTAGTATGGGTATCGGAGGGAAGAATGGGAAGGGGGACGAGGGACGACACGCACTAGGAGGCACGGGTTCCCATCCGTGCCGCCCGTGCAGCTGCGGGGAGGGAGAGCGAGACCGTCCGTCTTCGGGCTCTATTAAACCCGAGTTAGCAACGAAACAGAGCGCGATCCGTCCCCGCCGCTGCGCACTGACAACGCATCAGCCACGCATCACACCGAAAGACGCACGCATTTGACATCTCGACGAGGACAGCCGCAGGATTGTCGAGGTTGGAGGCAATGTCGACGCTACGCCGAGGGACGCTGCACATCGCTGCGCTTAGGCCCACCAAACACACCGAGCACAGGTGTGGCCATCGCGGCGTGGGCATTGGCCTGCACCGCGATCACAAGGACGACCGCGGTGGACTTGAGGTTAAGGATGGTGGGCTCGTTCGTGGTGGTAGAGGGCGCCAAGTAAGAAGATTGGATGAAACAAGAGAGGAAATGTGCTGTTTGTGCGTCGTAACTCGTGAATATTTGAATACTCTTGAAGCGGAAAAAGAAGAAAAAGTGAGGGAACCGGGCCTAGGGAGGCGTGGGTCGGGGGTCATGGCTGTCGGGGCGAGTGGGGGAGAGTAGAGAAAGTTCTGGCATGGCTTTCACCAAGCGTTAAAGGGCGCAATGGTGGTGTGGGAGAACAATGGGCGGGACCGACATTGTTTGTTGATGCGTCCATGCATCGCCACCGTGCCTTCCTTTGCCCTATTCCCTCAACGGTCAACTGGTAGCCCGAATCGGAGACACTCTTGGCATACGTGCCAGTGCGCGAGCTACTGCCTTGAAAGCTCCAGCGAGCCCTGTTCCACCGTCCAACGCCGACTCTCGAGATGACAACGGTGCAGCCTGAGAATCCAGATTGCGACTCCCACAACCTGGCAGCCACAATGCTCGATTACTGTACCAGTGCTTTCAATGTCGTTCTTACGTCGCATGTTTGTTCATTTCTTATCCCTGACTCAGCGAACTCTTCTCCGAAAATCAACGAATCTTCCCTCGAAGAGAAACTCCGCCGATCCTTTCTGGTTCTCGCATTGCCTTAATATTGCTCTGGAGTCCAATTCTTGCATTATCTCTGAATTTTCTAACCAACTGTACTTGCTTTCTCCGGCTATCCTGGACCGTCGCTACCTAACTTTGCCACCTCATTCCCACCACTTCGAGGATTTCAACCGGTGACAATTGTGATCTGCGCCTAGCTGGTTCATTCTCCTGCACTCTAGTCTCAAATGAGGTCGCGAGCAGTCTGAGAACAAGCTAGTGGCTGGCTTCTCCTCGTGCATTCTCCTAGCGGACGGGCCGCTACCGTACCTCCACGACTCACAGTGTACACTGCCCCGTTGACGAACGTCTGAACGTCAGGACTTGGCTTCTCTTCTCTCGGATCCGGCTTGTCCTCGTTACCCTGCACATAAAGATGCTGCAATTGCAAACTTGCGTCGGCCCGTTTGAATCCTTTATCGCGGACCAACGACCTTATCTCATAAGATCGATCGGTTCTCCGCTTCCCTTTCGTCGATTCCTGCTCTCTGGTCACTATACTATCTCTCTGGAAATTACATGCCTTGTCTTCAAGTCACCGAACGGTCAAATCCGACTCGGGGGTTGTCAAGTTCAATCACCTCTGCTCATCTTCGGCTATCCATCGTTGCCTTCAGTGTTACCTTATACTCCCCGCTCAAAGGGTTTGAGCCGGTGGCAGGCTTCTTTTCAACTCGATGCCCGCCTGCGGCCTGCCTGTCAAATCAGAGTGTTAAGTTCGGTCGTAGCAAGGACTTTGACAGGCTAATGACTTGCTGGAAAATTCAGCACGTTCGGGGTTGGATCGCTCTTGTCTCGGTTCATCATTTTCAAACTGTCCTAGTAGCCTCGAAGAAGGCTTCCATCTTCGCCGTGGCATGTTGCCGGCTCCTCGGACAAATCCGGTACGTGGTCAATTCCTGAGAGCTGTTCATTTGATTGAGGCAGTCATCCTAAGTCCTAGCTGGAGCCTGGGAGGTATCGACGTATACGGGGAATTGTGGCTGATCAGTCACAGTGCAAGTGGGCGGCGCTTCAAATTGCACCCATGTTGGGTGCATATTACAATCAATGGCCAGCACTGAGCAGGCCGCGCGTCGACCACAACCAGTTGGCGGGGGCAAAAGGGAAGACGAAGTTTTCCCACTATCTTTAGTAGTGGGTTTTTGTACCTCCTTAAAAAAAACGGGTTTCAGCGACTTATGATATTTGTTGTTTGTACATGATCGATCGCGGTGATGCCCGCATTTCGATCATTCTGGTTAAAAATGTGCCAAAGTCGACTTATGATATTTGCCGAAGTTTGCCAAAAGCTTGCCCCTCATTCTCGATCACTGCGGTTGAACTGCGCCTAAGTCAACTTGTGATATTTGTCGAAGCTTGTGCGATCACGGTGATTTCCGATTCTCGATCTTTGTGCTCGAAACTGCAGACAAAGTCAAGCCATGATATTTACATAACACAGTTCCTCCATCTAGTTCTGCCTGAACATCCAGTCAGCCCCCAAAATTAGGTCACGAAGTCAGGTGCACTATTGAGAGGGAGGTTTGAGGGAGGGGCAAGAAACAGCCAGGGCTCCTACTACATACCTGGGATGTACGCTGTTGCATTCCATGGCTTCCAAAATTCCTCCTCCCGGATCGTTCGGGCTCTTCATCATTCAAAACCTCGATTCCCACCATCTTTAGTAGTGGGTTTTTGTACCTCCTCAACACACCGGTAGCTGCCGTGATCCTTCGGTAAGACCCGGGCCACCAACAAGAAATCCTCTATCTCGCAAAATGTATAGCGGACGTGATACAGGGTCATGACTCACTGCAAGAAGGACATATCATCTTTTGGGAGGCATCATCGATGTCTCAAGTCTTGGACCAAATTCAATCAATTGGGACTTGGAAAACAACCAACAATCACCGTTCATTTGAACCTTTCAGTCAACTCCCTGTCTACTTTCTACTGGATTATCGGCCACATATTCCGAGGGATGAGCCAAGGCTTGGAGATCATTATTGCCGAGCAATATATCAAAGCCTATAAACTCCGTCCACATCGCACAAGCAGCAGCAATGTAACATTAGTCTCAGGCAAGGTGTAAGACTGTGCATCTTATTATTGTTACGAGATGTTTTTGCCTCCCAGCGAGAAACATACACGGGAGCATCGGGCCACGACCAACGGGGCTTTCAACCTCCCGCGAGGCGCTGGAGCCGACCGAAGGTCGGGCGAGGGTGCCGAGCTTTGAATGGAATATGTACAATCCACAAATGTTCCCATCGGTATCTGGATGAGTTTTGAAATGAAATTTACTGACCTTCCACATGGCTGAACGGCAAGAACAATGTGCTGCAAATGTGCTCAGCTGTGCTCACTCTCACTATGTTTTTCCTGTCCGAGGTTGTTGTATAAGTACGCAAACCTCCGCAACGCAGGTCAACCTACATAATTAGAACTGTTTTCTTCAGTTTTCATAGGGATCGGATGGATAGTGGGCCCTGCCGCGCGAGTGGGCTACTAAATTATAAGTCTCTACGCCGTCAACTCCCACTCATTGAGGCACTCATCGGTCTTATCCATTGGACCGCTGGTGTGCTTCAATGTATTCCCGCTACCGTAAGGTACGGGTTTCTATAGGGCGCCCTAACTTCAGCCACTTGCAGTAGATCACATTTTCGTCAGCACTTTTCACGTAAAACCCGAAATGTTCGGATTGTGTGTAATTCTTGCTCGTGTAAGCCCGTTAAGCGACCCAAAAATTCGAGATGATTCGATGTCACGTACGGCGTCTCTCTTGTTACTGACTACCATGTCGCCCTCTGCAACCCCTCCAATGTGCCGCTCTCCACCTCCGCCGACTCAAGCTCCAACAAATCTCTGTTGTCTCTTGACTGGGTCCTCTCCTCTGGAATCCCGCCGCCTCAATCTGTTGCTTCTGGGCTCTCACTGCTCCTAGTCCGGCGGTGAATCTATCTGCTCAATGCATGTGAACCTCCTTGTGCGGTCCTATGACCTCGTTCTCGGCCGTGATTGGCTGTTCTTTTGTCGTCAAACTCTTCCGCATGCCTCCTTTGTCCTGTCCTCTGGCGTGGTGACCCCAGGAATGCCGTCTCTCTTTTTTTTCTTGAAAGATTGTCGTTGTCGTAGGCCTGGCTAGTGTTTGTAGCTTCCTCTTCTCGCCTATCGTTCGACAACCCAATCGCCTCTGGCGAAGACAATATGCTCTGCCCCGACGCTCTACCCCCCATCGGTGAGTCGCATATCTCTGCTCACATTTTCT